AAGAAAAAGGTTAATAGGAAAACAGTAACAGTCTTTTTCATGTCAAAACCAAATCAAACACCCGTTCTGACAGACTACTTTATCCCATAACCTGCCGTACTTCAAAGATACCACCAAAATGAGAACAATTTCCATAAACTAACATATAAGCAAACATAAAAGCATTTGCTTCCCCCTATCTAATGGTTAAGAAATAACAGGTGCAAGTATGCAACTTCAACTTTAAAACCAAATCACGTTTTAGGAGCTTAGAAATAACTGAATAGATGCTTTGCTTTATCTGATCATGACTGCCTTTTGTGCTTTAAATTTAAAGCAGCAGAACCAGTCTTCTTCAATATTCCTGTTGTATTTAATTTTTATTTTTTTACTAACCCCTGACATTCGAAAGCTATATTGAACCCTGACTAATTCAGGACTGAGTTTGGTCAGATCCCATAAGGAAAACTCTCCCAGTACCTATTTCTTTATTCACAATACAAGACCTTACTTAAAGGGAACCAAACTCCTTCCACTGTGGCAAACAGATCATTAATTCCTGTTGTATTTAATTGAATGACAGTAATTCATCTTGCCAGGAGCTAGTGTAACCAACAAACTAAGTGCTCTTAAACCTACTACAATTTTTTAGCTTTTACTAGTCCGAAACAAAAAGGTAAACCCTAAGAGATTCCTATCCTAGAATATGAGTAAATTAACAAGCTATTTCTCTCTAGAAGCTAACTTTATATCACTTGATAGATTATGTATTCATATATGGGCTAAGGTTTCTACTTCAACAAAAATATTTTGTTAAGTATACTGATAAATAAGTCTCCATGCAATTTATCTAATCTTTAACTAATAGTCTACGGTCTATAGAAGCACAGAAAAGGACCTACATTTTGTGGATACCGTTGACGTTCCTATCAGTGGCTGTCAATCCATACTGAGCCAAGAAGAGACAGACAAGCATGTGGAACAAACTATTCAAAAAGTTCCATATTGACTAGAAATTTGATTCTTGATAAGCCTTCTGATTGAATAATTCTTGCTATAGCATCTTTGAAGAAGCTATTATAGATTCTTATTTTGTCCTTTTGCACAATCACTTGATTTTACATTGACATGAAAAGCACAAACTTTTACTTTTGTCAGAACTAACAGCAAGAAGACCATAAACCCATAGCAAGCAGCTTTACAGCATGTGCAACTCATTGTGTTACTGTATATTAGTTGAATTCAGTGTATTTAAATTGTTGTCACTTGAAATACTTCCCATCTACATTGTAGCATAATTATCCAAAATCTAGACAATATCTAATCTAATATGTCTCAGCAATCAACTATATGCTGCCTATCCACACAAAAAAGGAAAAAAAAAATCCTTTTTCAAATGCTAAAGGCCATCATTTTTGACTCACCAATGATTCATCATCTATCAAGTTTCTCATCAAAATGCTTCTGAGATACCAATAAATTAGGAAGTATCAATCCCAAATCCTAGCATGCAAACTCAAAGTCTAGTGAATACTTTCCTTCACATTTGAAGGTTTCTACTGGCTCTAATAAAGGTACAATCGGCTAATTGAAGCTCCTTTTTGACCTACCTAACATACGCGCCATAGATTGGTGATAAACCAACACTCTTGGAGTTCTAACAAACTAGTATTTAACTTCATTAGTTGAGAAATTAGTCAGCCAAACTAAAGCTACTCTTTTGAGTTTTTCCCATATTTATCTTTTAGCTTTTTATTTAAGTGAGATTATAACTCTACAGGATCTAATTAAATTTCCTCCACTACCTTTAAGTTTTGTAGTACTTCCTTGACCATCTTTCTCTTTTGGCCATTTTCCCTCTTTCCAACTAACTCTACAAACCTATCATCACAGAATTAGAAAGGAACAATCTCACTTGACCATTTCGTTTCAGCATTGTTTATTTGTAACAACAAAAACAAGAACCTTTTACGCCTTCCTGATGGTGGGGATTTGTCCTAGTGGTTTATCGAGAAAAGGCGGGTTCCACCAGCCACTAAATGAGCTTATCTTTGATAGTCTACTGTGAGAAGGGACTTAAAATGAAAAGATTAATAAACTTATCAGAAAATTTTTGGTTGTGAAAATGATATAAAAAGATTTTTGGTTGTGATTCAAAAAATGGAATAAAAGCCAGTAAAAGGAAATCTACACTGTGCTCCAATCTTTGGTCCAAAAACCCTCATCAAACTAGCAAATTCACTGTCCATTTATTTTGGTCATAGGGGGAATGCGGCTATACCTAGTAGTTTTAGTGCCTAACTAATAAAATGGATATGGTCCTAATGCACTAGTGAATTCAATACTAAACCTAAGCTTTCTCTATTCAAGATAGCCACCAGACTGCTTTGTGCAAAAGCCGGCCTATTAAAGCCTAAATGATTCTTTTTTATTTTGAACATGCTTGTAGGCACTATTTCAAGAATTTAAACGCAGGCTTCCTACTTTAGTTACTGAAGAATTGAATCACATGCAATTCACACAGAAAGTAAAAGAGTATATAATTGCATACATCTTTGATTTTAAAAAGAATAACACAAGTGAATGCAAATGTGTAATATTATCTACTGATAAAGAAAGTAACTTTAATTAAATTAAAAATGCATCTGGAGACAGACCTTGAGTTTCCCTTTGCGTTCATGTGGTTCACCAAACTCATAAAGAAATGGATATTGGCTGGAGCTACTAGCCTGAGTCCCAGCCCAAATGATGTGTCATAGCCCAACATAAACATGGACCTGCCTATTGCACGCCTTTGTTACCAAACCCAAAGCCTCAACCGCAAACTATGAAATCCAAGCCCAAACCCAGCCCCCAAAAATCAGATATTCTCTGTCCTCCCAGAATGAACCATAGGAGGTTCACTTCCGGGGCAAAACGCCAGAGGAAGAGAACTACGCTACTAGAAGCAGCAAGGAATCAAGGGATCAAAATCCTTCTGCACCTCGCCAAGAGTCCTATCTCTCTTCACAAGGTCATGGCACCCATCTCCAGCCCTCCACGGGGCATCATCTGTGGAATCCATGGCTATGAAATTGACATCAGTAGGAACTCCCAATCTACAGTGATCTTCCACGGACAGAAGGATTTCGCCTGCTTCGCCGTCGACATTGAAGGCATAAGAGGCTATGTCCCTAACATTGGTTTCGTCGTCCAAGACAGCCTCTCATTCTTCAATTCCACCAAGCAAGATCCTAAATTTCATGGGTTACCTTGTTTCCTCTACGGGAAATCGATGGGGGCCGCCATTTGCTTATTGATCCATCTCGACGATCCGAATGGGTTCGACGGAGCAATCCTGATTGCACCCATGTGCAAAATCTCCGACAAAGTTCAAATCGTCACCTTTATAGCGAGATTCCTACCCACTTTGGCAATTATACCAGCAGCAGACATTGTGCAGAAATCAATCAAAGTGGAAGAGAAAAGGATAATCAGAGACATGAATCCGGTGAGATACAGGGGAAGACCGAGATCGGGCACTGCGTTTGAGCTCCTGAGGGTTACTTGAATATCCGGGTTCTTGTCGTACACGGCAGTGAAGATGCAGGACGGATCCCGAGGTGAGCAGCATGGTTGGTGAAGTTGTACTTACAGTTTTTTATATTATTTATATTTTATAAATTTAAATTTTTTTTAAAAAAAATTTATATTTTTAAATTTTTTTAATTTAAAAAAAATTTAAATAATAAATTTAAAAAAATTAATTTTTACTTTTTATAATTTTTTTAATTATTTTTTATAATTTTTAAAAATAATTTTAATTATTTTAATAAAAATTTAAATTTATAATTCATAAATAATATTAAAAAGATAAAAACTCCAATAAACTCCGGGAGATGATGCATTCTTTGCTGTTTTTGGAGAACCAGAGGAGAAAATCGAAATCATTCTTGGTGATATCTTGTCGTGGTTGAGTCAGAGAGGCATAGAGACGAGATGAATAGGAATTTGAGTAACATTACCAATAATAAATTCAGTCTCCCGGGCTTATCCAAAAAAGAAGAAGAAGAAGAAGAAGAAGAAATAAGGTATCTCGAATCAGAGGATATTAGGACAACTCTCCACAATTTGTGGGGTCCTGGACAAAGATGGGATGGAAATGATGAGGAATATTATTGTTATACAGAGTTTACATCTGATACTCATTTTAATTTAATTATGTAAATAAATTTAATTTAAT